ATTAATGCACATATGAAAAAGAGAGAGTTGTGACTGATACACGATCACAAAATCGTCAGCAACTTATAAAGCAGTCAACAGAACAATCCCTCCAACAGCAAAAGAAAAGAAATAATAAAAATCAGCGCAGAGATAAAGGAGTGGGAAGATAAGATAATAATGCAAAAAATCAGTGCAGCAAAAAAAGAAGAAGAAAAAAAGAAAACCAAAAAGCTGGTTCTTTGAAAGGGTTGATAGACTGCTGGCAAACCAAACCAAGGATAGGAAGCAGCAATAGCTAGGGTGAGGGATGAATCAGGAGAAATCACAATGGACCCTAATGAGATTAAAAGGATAATTACAAACTACTATGAAAATCTGAATTCAATGACTTCAACAAACTGGAAGACACGGAAAAAATTTTTGAAAAACAATCCCTTCGTAGAATATCCTAGATAGAAGTCAATAGCATAGCAATAAAGGAAATAGATTTCGTTATCAAGAAACTACCAACGAAAAAAACTCCCAAGCCAGATGGCTTTACAGGAGAATTCCACCAAACATTCAGGGAAGAGCTGACACCGATTCTACACAAACTATTACAGAACATAGAAAAAGACAGTAAACTCTGAAATTCATTCTACAAAGCTAGTATAACACTGATACCCAAATTGGGCAAGGATCACACAAGAATAGAGAACTATAGACCGATATCGCTAATGAACACTGATGCAAAAATCCTTAACAAAATACGGGCCCATAGACTATGAAAGCATATTAAACAAATCATCTATCATTACCAGGTGGGATAGGAACTGGAAACACAGGGAATCCAGGATAGATGATCCCTGTGAGAACAGTGGTGAGAGTGGCAATACAAGAGGGTGGAGGAAAGGTGGGGCAGAAAGGGGGAACCGATTATAAGGATCTACATATAACCTCCTCCCTGGGGGACAGACAACAGAAAAGTGGGTGAAGGGAGAGAGATGTCACACAGTGCAAAACATGACAAAATAATAATAATTTATAAATTATCAAGGGTTCATGATGGAGAGGGGAACAGGGAAGGAGGGGGAAAAAATGAGGAGCTGATACCAAGGGCTTAAGTGGAGAGCAAATGTTTAGGAATGATGAGGGCAATGAATGTACAAATGTGCTTGACACAATGGATTGTGATAAGAGTTGTATGAGCCCCCAATAAAATGATTAAA